CGGGCCTAGTGCAGGTTGGTGGGTGCTAACGACTGCAGATGCAGCTGGGACGAACGGCTTAACGTGCCTTCCGAAGCACGGAGGAGTTCGAGATAGTAAATTTTTGGTCACCCATCGAGCTACTCGTTCATATGGCTCTCTTTTATTAGAAGCAAGATGGCGCTGTAGCAATTGTTACTGGCACTATGGTTTGAGTTCCTTAGTTTAGTATAATAACAACTTTAGTTCTTTATTTAGCTAATAGATGTCATGTTGTCCTTTTAATCGCGGTAAAGATTGCTGCAGTGCGTTTCTTTAAGTAGTTTCCTATATGATTAGATATAAGATCAAGGATTCAGTACAAGATCAAAATTCTGTATAATCTTTTATGGGTTTTTAAGAATGCATTAGTTTAAGTACAAACTTCTATCATTTCAACGAATCCCAAACGAAGCCAAATTAGACAATATTTTTTCACGTAAGCAGGCTGCAGCAGCAAAGAAATAAGTATAATTTAAGATTTTATTAAGGCAGCTTTATATATTGCAACTTCTAAGCTCTCGGTTAGTCGTAAGCTCGGTGTTTACGCAACTCTTTAACTAGCAACAATTGACAACAACAGGGTGCCTCTTGGGACATAGAATGTTAAACTGCCGTACCAAGGCTTGAGCGAGCGCGGGTGATTGTTTCATAGATTGCTACCAAGGTATAGGTAAATGTTTAAGAGGAGCTCGATGGCGCAAGTGGTTAGCGCGTTCGGCTGCGATCGTTGAAGCTTTCGCAGTGGTTTTTCATAGGATGGGTGACCAAAATTTACTATCTCGAGCTCTTCTGTGCTTCGGAAGGAACGTTTAGCCGTCGGTCCCGGCTACATCTGCAGTCGTTAGCACCCACCAATCACACATTGTCATGGCCCATTCTTCCTATTCCATCAATAGAGAAGACTTGTGCCCCAGCAGTGGGGGTTTTAATAGGCTAATGATGATGAGTGAAAAACCAAAATGAATATTATGTGCGCAAATAGGAGTAGTGTTCTAAGGTCGTGCCATTGTAATAGAACCAGTTTGTCTGATAGTCTTTCCACTTATACAAGAAACTTTTCATCTAATCTGTGGGTGCTAGCTAATGAAAATCGACGTTTATTCATTAAAACCACAAACTATATAGTGATGCTAGCGCATGTTAAAACGCGCATGTGGAATAAGCTTAGGCTAGTTACGCCGTGTTTTGTTCATGTCACTCAAGTGACTTTTGCAAATCAATGAACAGAGACAAAACATAGAGAAACTAATCCAATCTTATTCGTGGTTTATTAATATGGGGTCAGTATTTTTAGGGTTCCGTATCTCAAAAGGAAAAAACGGAACCCTTAACCGTTCATCTGTTTGTTTGTCAAAATCCTTTATCCCAAGAACGTATGGAGGAATGGAGTTGAAATATAAACCATCTACTCAGATCTACCTACGGTCCCTTGAAGCTGTGAAGAAACAAATTTGTAAGTTACTGTAAAAAAAAGTCGTGGCCGTTTATCTGATTGTCTGTCAAGATTCTTTATCTCGGGAACACGTAGAAGGATCGAGGTAAAATTTAAACTCAAGTTTTCACGTTTCTTGGAAGTTGTAAAAAATCAAATAATAATAATAATATTCTTTATTGACATACACCTCACAGGACATACAAGACATTAAACATGACAGTGAAAACGTACACAATAGGCGGCCTAATTGCTAAACAGCAATCTCTTCCAGGCAACCCATGACAGTGAAATAAATAAATAAGAGGAACAAGAAGGGGGGGTGTAGTAGGTATGGAAAAATAAATAATGAATAATAGATGTAATAGATATATACAAAGAGAGAGACAAGAGAGAGGTAAGACTTAAAGTTGGGAAAGGAAATAACCTCTAACTTGATCACTAAACGAGCTTAGAGTGCGAGCCTTTCGGATTGTTTCAGGTAGTGAGTTCCACAAGCGAACAGAATGCACAGAGAAGGAATATGAAAAGAAATCAGTTGAATGGAGTGGGACTGCAAGCGTTAGATTTGAAGAGGACCGCAAAGTGCGTTCTTATTTGGAATCAAGAAACGAGAAACATTCTTTTAGATAGGGCGGAGAAGTAGGAAGGAAAAGTACAGAATAAAGAACCGTAAGAGTGTGTAAGTCCCTGCGTCGGCGAATAGGGAGCCATTTTAGTTTGTGTCGAAAGTGAGACACATGGTCATATTTACGTAGATTAAAAATGAATCTGATACACATATTCTGCAGACGTTCCAGCTTGTTTAGGAGTTCCTCAGATATGTCAGTATAACAAACATCAGCGTAGTCGATAATGGATCAAATTTCTAAGTTACTGTAAAAAAGATAGGGCCGTTTATGTTGCGTATCTACAAATTTGGTCGGAATCCTCGGTGGGCTAGTCTGACTCGCATTTGTCAGGTTTTATCAACACAACGCTCGAAGCAAATTATACCTGTCTCCACTTAATTTTTACGGGAGTAAATGGAGTCGAGTTGGGAAAATTTCAGATGCGCGATTTCTAATTTGTTACTGAAGCGAAATTGTGCCGCTTCAGCGATTTTTACACCTCACAGGTCCAACCCAATCAATTTCTTATTCTTTGTAGCCCTGGAACCTGACTAATTAAGAGAACAGAACATTGTCGAAAGGTAAGGTTTATATTGATTGTGTCTACTAAAAAGTCTTACATTGTTTCGAATTAAATTATTTATTTGAAGATAATACATTAAAAGCTAGGTGTGACATCATGTAAAAAAAGGTAATGTAATATTAATGTGATGAAAGTTGACATCAACACATGTTTTCAGGTTTTAATGTCATTTTTCAATTGACGACATTGTATTGTATTATTGATTATTGAGACAAATAGGGAGAATAAGATCGGGGGGCACGGCAGTGCCCCGCCAAGTCAAGCGCGACGCAAACACTGCCATACCATCCTTTACTGGAACCATTTCGCCGCATTTTCAGGCCCCTATTTGAGAACCTCTGGATAAGACCAGAACGCAGAAATTTTCGTCATCCAATAAGCTATAATCACATACTTAAAAATCAATAAGTCTGTAGGTCATTTAGTTCCGAAGTTAAGCGTAAGCAAAGTTTCGCATTTATGACACTCACTCATGATCAATCGAATAGAACTAGTACTTCCCATAAACTCAGAGAGCTGAATTTTGGTACAGAGTTTGGGTTTAATGGCCACAAAGGGAAAACTATATAAACTAGGATATTCGAAGATCTGGAGTACGTGGTGACCCTGATTAGAAAACACAAGAACCCAACCAAACTATTAGAAGAGATCGACATACCGCCTTTACAAAAAATATTCAATTATAGGCCGCTTCATTTGATGTCAAAAATCTAAGGTCTGAAGTATCTGATGAAGAACCCTCAGCTGGTCTCAGCTGTATTAAAGATATGGTAATGCCCCCTTCTACTATTGGTACATAAAAAATCGAATGTCATTGCAAAAATCCAGCGTAGTGGAACACATCTTCTTATTTAATCTAGCTTATAGCGTCCCACTGCTGGGCGAATGCCTCCCCTTCTGCTTTTAATATGCAAATAAATAAAATGAAAGGAAAACTCTGGATAACACTAGACTGGCTTTTATACTTATACTTACAAGTTTACAAGAAATAATAGTCGAACGATTAACTTTATTCTACTCGAACATTACACAAATTACACTAAAATATTAATTTCGCTCAAAATTTGGTCAAAATATAATGCATTGGACTAAGAGTGGTGGTGATACCCGCACACGTCGCTAGATGGCGCTGACTGTATTTTAAAACGCGCTTCTCACTGATTTCACAGCTGTTCACAGATTAGTATAACTGCCCGTAGAGCACAAAAAAACTCCTAAATACAAACAGCTTTCAGACGAAGTACTTCAAGTTTTAAGGACAGACTTAAAAACTGTCGAATTATTTATTTTGTAACTTTAGCCTACATAAATCTTCGTTTATGCGAAGTGTTTGATACTTCTGATGTAGAAGATGGTTTGGAAAAAAAAACATATTTTAGTGCTGGGGGATCTTTTGCAACTTCCACCCGTTAGAGAAAAGTCACCATTTGAAAAACTAACCCTTTCAAAAGTTAATACACTTATAGCCTATAACAAAAAACCCACCAAAAACATTCTGTAAAATACTAGCCAAGTCTCGATGGAGTTGCTTGTTTATCTCTAAAAAGTAATGAAATCTAGACAAAGTCGTGCCAAGTCTAAGGTTCCTTACTGCGATTTCTTTATTTTCATAGTTAATGTTGTGTGACTTGGTCGTTGAAGGGTACACAAGGGTACAAAACATTGCGCCAATCTGTCGCCAGAACCGCTACCCATTGACGATGGAAAATTGCCACTTGGAAAACGTTGATTGTTTAACCAGTCAATTAATATAATAACAGCCTAGGCTGAATAAATAAGTTTGAATTTTGAATGTTACAATAAGTTTTATTTAATTCATTCTGTGGTTATTTCATTATAGCCTTGTTAAGTGTACTAAGCAGCAAACTTACTCAACAAGGAGTAAACCGCAAATAAGGTTTGTATAAAAGTTCTTTTAACATCCCACTAGAAACTGTTTTGTATTAAAATTTCAACACTTCAATTAGTATACTGCACCCATGCCAAGCCGAGGCGAAATCCAGTTGACTATAATAAAATAGTACCCTTAGCACGAATCAACATAGAATTCGAATAGTTGAATTCAATATCGATACACGTCGAATGTCAAGAAGTTCTGTAAGACAATTTGAACAGCGCCACAGCGTACGCAACGTGAATTAAAAATCTTCCATTCAAAACTTCTTGACTATTAACACGTATCGAGATCTAATTCAACCATTAGAATTCGATATTGGTTCGTACTAAGGGTACGTTGTCAGCTTGTCACTTGGACAGCGCCGTCTCGCGCGTCGAGATAACATCTGGGCGGGCCGCCCGCCGCGTATTCAGTCTAGTAGACACACCGCGCGCGAACAGCGATCACGTAATACCGCCTATGGCTCTTGTCACAGAGCACTTTGAACATAGGCTCATGTGAACAGTGCCTATACCAACTAGATTAGTACCTGCCTGTGTATCGACGGAGAGTGCGAAAGTGATATCACGTAACATTCATTGAATTGACAAGTGTTTTGTGAATCGAACTCGAGGAAGTTTGAAGGCGCAAAGTTTTCCGTGGGTAAGTAAATCTGTAATAAATAAACTTTTGTACGTGTATACTGAAAAGTTGATTCTTATTTTTTTTTCAGTAATAGGTTTAATTACTTTTTATAACTTATTTAAATCTTTTTATATTTTATTATTCTATATTAATGATTGGGTACCTAATTTATTAAAAATGCATTGAAATTTAGTTTCAATGATATTCCTCTATCTATCTCATATCACTATGGTAACTCATGTTCTCATTAGTAGCTACAAATTTGCAGCAAAAATATTTCATTTAAAACCAAAAATTTTGGATGTGCGTAATTATTGTAATGAAATTTACTAAAGGCGGAGAGACTTTAATAATTTTAATGCTTTTAGAATTTATGCATTGTCCTTATTGAATTCAAATCGCAAAGCGAGTAACAGCACCAATTTTAATTAAGCTTCATTTAAATGTGGTCTCGGAGTTTTAAGAAAGACTGATATAACTTCGATGACCTGCGTAATCGTAACCCATACTGGCTGATATCGCATGCCGCCAACGTCGTGTTTTTCAGACATTGAGTCTTTATAGAAAACAAAACAGTGAACTAATATGTAAATGGTTAAAACACACACTTCAAATAAAGATTTATCCCGACGTTTAATATTTTATTTACAACGCGAAAGTTTTAAAATGTATTTCAAAAAGTCACATCAAATGCATGGCTATTTTTATTCATATTTTGCCATGCAGTTTTTTACTTAAATTTGAATCTTGTTTCAAAACATATTTACAAATACAGGTATATAAATTTCTCTTTCTAATTCATAGAATAAGTAATGAAAATCTCTGCTGCCGCATGTTAAGTACTGTATTTTTGAACGCCGCACCTCTGTAAAGTCCTGTGTGACCCTATCATAGGCCCTATAAAGTTCATGACGCACGGAACGTGTTAAATATTAATTAACACGGTAAAATGACACACAGACTGGCTTATCCCACCAGCGTGACGAAGCTTCGGGTGGCTTCGATACTAAAATGCGTTAACATAAGCATTCCAACTTTATTTTTTTATTTAGCCAGGTAGGCAAATGGCTCTGCCCCACCTGATGTTAAGTGGTGATAAAGTCTAAACGCGAAGATAGATAATACGGCAGTTATAAACTGCTGTAAAAACTTTGAATTATGAACGCTCCTTCAGCTGCATATACAAAATCGTCTTCTACAACCTCTTTTCTGCGTGTCAAATTATCGCCAGTCAAGCTAATACACGCAGCCCGCTAATTCATTACGAAATAATTCAAATTACGAACGCTAAGTTTTGCGCATTTGAAAAAGCCACCCCAAGCTTCGTCGCGCTGGTGTGTGAGAAGCAGGTTGAAACAGCCAGAATAGATATTTTAATAACTATCAAATATTTGAATCGACAAAAACGGAAGTGTTGGTGTGTTGTATGCTCCAATTGGCACTACACAGGTCCTTTGTTAGCAGTTAGCCAGTTTACTTATCCATTTCCAGTAAAAGGCAAACTCGATGGGGATGGTCGGTCATTGGATGGGTGGCCAACAATTAATTATCTCGAGCTCCTTCGTGCTTCGGAAGGCAGGTTAAGCCGTTGCCGCTGGTCCCGGCTGCATCTGCGGTCGTTAGCACCCTCCAATTTGCACTGGGCCCGCGTGGCTGATGATGATGATGATGATAAAAAGGCCAGCTTATATTCTGATTTCGTTTCTTAGCAACAGTTGCTATGTTTATCGACTTAACAAAAATATCTAGGCAACTAAGCTTTAATAAGGGCGCTTGTTTCGAGTTCTACCCGAGTCTAGGCATGGTTTTAAACCGTATCTACGTTCGGTTGTCAGTATGGGACACTCACTATAGAGGAGTTCACGACACCGGCGCTAGTGACGGTTTGGGTTCGGAACAGACGTACAAATCGTGCGCATGAATGAGCTTAAGCGCCCTTAGGCCTGTCTCTTACTCGTGATCGATTGAAGAAACTGGTCATAAGAATGGCTTATTTTGACTTTTGAGTTGCACCTCAGTGTAGAAATTTGCCTGTGCCTATATGGGAAGCTATTTCGTAGCAGCAAAATTACACCTTCATTCCGATCTACCGGCTTTAGCATTCAGGCAGGAGGTTTAGAATTTGGCTATTAATATTAAGCTTGTTGAAACCACTGCTAAATTGGAAGGCTGTTGAGTACAAACCCCTTACTTGAATCAAATAACGAGACATTTTGTAAACTAAACTACTTGTTATTTTTGTTCCTGTGATAAACAAAGTTACTTAAAGAACAAATTACATATATTAAGCTGTCTGTAAGTGCCGCCGTGCGCCCTGGATTGGCCCTGCGGCAGGGATGTCAGTAGCCCGCTTTAGGATAGTATCATCCAGACCCGTCTTTCCCAGTGGGCACTTTGGGCAAGTGCCCAGGGCCCCGCGATCGATAGGGGGCCGCCTCAGATCAAATACAAAGTCCCTAGTTCCTGTTGAATCACCAAACGCAATTCATAGGGGCCCCATTATTCTAATATGCCCAGGGCCTCCAATAGGTCAAAGACGGCACTGGTGTCATCATAAATATCATGATGCCTAGAGGTAAGGTGTAGTGTAAGTAGGTAGTAGGTATGTACCTCTCATTAGTTTTGTTATTTATCTTTATTTAGGTAATGAACTGCTATTATCTGTATTATCTAAATGTTTTTTTTTTACTAACAAAAAGTAATTTAAATTACAATATTACTGTAATTGCTATTTCTTCTTTCAAATATTTAATACTTGTAAAGGTTGCATTTGACATTGCGGGTTACTTACAATACGAAGAGATGGCGCTGCCTTGCAGCCTAAGAAATGCTGGAGAAAATTCGACACAGCCATCAGGGCCTCGGTAGCGTAATGGTTAGTGCATTCGCCCAGATAGCGAAGGGTGCGGGTGCCTGGTCCACGTTGATTTTTTTCTAGTAAAATTTTCTTTAAAAAGTAATTTATCATCCCTGATATCAGGCTGAAATCAAACCAACACATACACTATACGGGCGAATGCACCACTATGCTACCAGGACCTTAATGTACTACATATGTGTCGAATTTCTTCTAAATATAGGCTGCAAGGCAGTAGTTGTTGTCTTGTTTATTGCCAGAGTGAAAAGGTGAGGTAATTTGATACCATTCTTATCTCCGCGGTACTCTGTTCGCAATCGGATTCCATTCAGGCTTTTAGGTGTAATTAAACAATTTCTATAAAAAAAAGTAGTAAGTGCGGTACGCTGTTGGTGTTTTTTTTTGTCCCAACAATATACTACTAACTTAGTAATTAATTAACTAAAATGACAATTATTGCATGTTCATTATGTATAAACAATACACATATTATTCACAACAAGATTACGTAAGAATGTTTGTAAAGTATTTTTCTTAGTTAGCTTGGAATAGTTTGGGTAGATTAAACTTCTAGTTTTATTGTCAGTCAAGACCTTGTCCCCGTGAACTTAGATAAGCAAGCACATAATAATGATTACAAGCTCTTTCCATATAAACAATTTTTCGTTTTAATTGGCAAACACATTCGGATCGTTAAAATACATATGTTGTTAATGATCATACCTTACTGTCATCCTATAGTGAAACGAAAGATAATAATAATGAACCAGCTGTTGTTTTGCCACCGCGTAGGGAAGATAGTAAAGTTGAATAATGGACAGGCAGAATACCTACATTTAGTGTCGCCGCATACGGGCCACCGACCACTGCCACAAAACGCCGCCACCGGCATATTTATTGTAGTTTTCATACATTTTATATGGACTCGCCACACATGGTACGCGCGCCGGTGGCCGCCACACGCTACAAATCGTCGTTGCTCGCCTCTTGTGGCCCGCACCGGCCACTTAATGCGCCGATACAAAACGCCGCCACACGTCACTCGCGCGATTCCCCACCCCTCTCTCCCTTACCTTAGCTGGCCGCTGTCGCGCGCTTCAGCCACTTTAGTAGGCGCTTCTTGTGGCGGCGTTTGTGGCTGTGACGTGTGGCCCGTTTGCGACGACACTTAATTTACTAGCAAGCAAGAAAATCGCCCACCTGATGATAAGCGGCCATTATAATATGTTACGATACAAGAGTATAACTTGCGCCGTAGTCCTCTGACCCTAATACCCAACACGACACCACCAAAGAGACTAAAGATTACCTGGTGTAATTTCACGTGATTTCTGTACGGTGGATGTTTTTTTTATAGCCAAATGACTATACCCCACCAGATATTAAATGGTGATAAAGTCCAAACGCGAAGATAGCTGGTATAGCAGTTATAAACTGCTACACCAACCATCCTCACCTTGTTGGCCTACAAAAATGCTTCTTCACGCCTCTCTTAAAGGACCCCAGACTGTAGGAAGGAGGCTACAAATAGATTTCGAAATCTAATTTGAGCTCAAAAGACAAGAAAAGGTTGTCTATTTAAGTGTCGCCGCCACCGGCATATTTCCTGTAGTTTTCATACATTTTATATGGACTCGCCACACACGATACGCCGGTGGCCGCCACACACTACAAATCGTCGTTGCTCGATTCTTGTGACCTGCACCGGGCACTTAATGCACCGATACAAAACGCCGCCACACGTCACTCGCGCGATTCCCCACCCCTCTCTCCCTAAGTGTCGCCGCAAACGGGCCACCGACCACAACCACAAAAAGCCGCCACCGGCATATTTCTTGTAGTTTTCGTACATTTTATATGGACTCGCCACACACGGTTAGGGACACGAAAAAAGTATCGATACTTTGTGGTATCGAGTACTTTTCCTTTCGATACCGATACTTTTGTACTCGATACTTTGTATTCAATACTTTTACTAAATGAGTACATTTTGGCAAGTATCGATACCTTTAAAAATTTGGATAAGCGCCTCATATTGATGGCAACGCCATCTTCTTAAATCATAGCAAACCTTCTAAAACGTTCCATAGGGTATTTGACAAGTTTTAGGCAACGATCTCACGTTATTGACTAATGTTTATGGAGTCCGTAAAAAGTGGAT